GATGGAACATATAGAACAGAAGAAAGAGTGAGTAGAGGTGAAAGGAAGACAGTTCCTGACTGAAACACTGTAATCGAATCACCAGTTGGCAAAGAGACCGAGATTGGTGAGATGTCACTCATATCAGAGAACAAGGTCTTGTCATAACAGACATGGCTGCTGGCACCGGTATCTAAAATCCAGGTTGTAGAAGAAATGGGAAAATATGGGTTAGCAGTAGAAAAGAGAGGGCGAACAGGAAAAGTACCGGAGGAGTTCAGTGGTTGGGCTGCAGATGTACGATCAGCGAGAGAGTTGCTAAGCCCCTGAAGTTGATTGCTGAAATGCGAAATCAGAGAATGTGCCTGTGCGAGAGCCGAAGCGCCATGCTCCGGTGCAGAAGAGCCAATAGTAGGAGCATCTGACATTGTGCTAACCATATTAACACGGTGTTGACTATTCGACGATGGTGATGGGAGAATACCAGAATGATTCCAGGAATTTGGTGCAGTTGTGCGTGATCCGGAAGATGCCAGCTTGTGGCCACGGGGATAACCATATATTTTGAAGCAACGAGAAACTGTATGACCGAAGAGACCACAGTGAGTGCACTGAGGCTTGGACTTGTTCTGTGGTCGAGAGCCAGTTCCATGAGCCTGAGAATGGAATGCCACAGAATCAGAAGGGGAAGTAACAAGTCTTTGTTGTTCTTCCTGGGAAATCAGATTGTAAGCCTTGGTGATATTAGGCAGCGGCTCCATCATCAAAATTTGCCGACGAGCTGGTGTAAATGACTCATTGAGACGCATAAGGAAGCGAACCACATTCCGAAGATCGTAGAATTCCTCCCATCGTTTCACCAAGTTGCACGAACAACCATTACAAGTACAGGTCGGGAAAGGCTCATGATTTTTGAGCTCTTCCCAAAGACCAGTCAACTTGGTAAAATATGCGTTCAAGTCCAAAGATCCTTGATGTAAACCGTCAATCTTCTGCTGGATATTGTATATCTTCGAAACATTTTTCTGTTTGAACCTATTCTCCAAACTGACCCACACGTCATGCGCATTATCGAGATAGATAATGAGACTGGAAATGTCGGCAGAAACCGAATTGTTGATCCAGGTACAGACGAGATCGTTGCACCGAGACCACAACCCAAAATCAGCAGCATCGTGTGAAGGCTGCGAAAGTGAGCCATCAACAAACCCGAGTTTGTTTTTGGCGTTGAGAGCCTTCAACATCGACCGAGACCAGA